ACTTTTGACTATCAACTGTACTGTGTGTATATATATATATATATATATATATAGTGACTAACAAGGGTCTAATAGATAGTAGTAGTATGTAATTAACAATAACCAATAAGATAAGAAATACTACCCACTTTTAGATTATTTACTAATTACAAAATAACAATAATAAAACATAATGACAAGTTTTACATAAAATGTTTTTTTTTAATGGTAAAATGCATATATACATGAATTTTTATGTTTGCTGATAAAATATTATTATTAATATTATTACTATTATCATTTGCAAATCTCCAAACTGAAAAAATTTCATAATGACATAATATGAAACTTATTCGTATAGGTTCCCTGACTTTTTACCTCAGAAAAAAAAATTAGGCTACTGCAAGTCAAGGCCATTATTAAATATAAATGTTTTAAATTATTTTTTTTGTATTTCTTGGTTTCTTTCTATATATTAACATTTATATTTTTATATATTTTATGATCCCTGAACTGAATGAGCTTTTTCTAAATAAATGTGTGAGGTGTTACAGTGGCAGCTGAAAAGTGAAAATAACTAGGCTCTCTCAATTCTAAACAAAATACAACAGGCTTTTTCTTCACTAGTCCCAAATGAGAAAAAAAAAGAAAGGGAGAAAACCATAAACCTCATAAATCTGAACATAGGGATGTTTATAGGGAACCAACTCAGAACCAGTGCTGATGTTAAAACCGAACTGCAAAATAGTAGTGTGTGACAACCGGGAAATAGCTTATTACCACCGGGACTGCCCCAAATATAAAGTTATGTCTCATTTCTATTGGGGGATGAAGAATACCAGGTTAAATATGTCTTAATTCTCAACTGTATAATGTTAACAGCATGTTTGTGTGGACCGCCTAAGAAATCATCCAAACATCTGTTCTGATTGGATTTATTTTGGTTACACAGAGGATGAAAAGATGCGGCTGCTACGCACGATTCTCTGCAGCGTGGCATTTGTGGATGACTCACAGCTCACAAGCTGTTGATCAGTCTTGGGGGCAATAGCAGCGGGGGGTTAGTCATAATAGATCATCATGTGTGAGAGCTGCACTACATACCATTTCAATAGGGGAGGTCCTGACGGTGTGATGTCAACCAATTTCAGTTCCCCTGGCAACAGCATCCCCCGTCGCCAGGCAGCACGGAAGAGGGAGCCCTCATCAGTGTTCTGCACAGGTGGTGATATGAGACACCTGCATCATTGGCCTAAAAATAGCTTGCCTTGAGCTAGGAGAGCATTGTTGGTGACAATCCAGGCCTGAAGTGATTTAGAAGGGTCACGGAACATTCAAATAGAGCCAAACCAAGGAAATGCTTGATATTCACCTCGTCGTCACTCAAGGCCCTTCTGGGTGGTCGTGAAGCCATAATAATGCCTCTTCTGGGTGTATCCATCCAACCTAATACACGTAGACAAATACCTTTAAGTAAAACATCTCTTTTTGTAAACAATCAGAAAGGCTGTTCCCATTTTCACACCCAAAATAAGGTGCATCTAAAATCCCGAAACTAACGTTTATTAAGGATACACAACTAATCTTTTTGTTTGTAATGCAATTCTGCCAGCCTTGAATCTTTAAACACCCGAGACTAGTGGATGTGGGTTTATGTTTATTATTTGATTACACCGAATGCATAAGCTCTGACTAGGTACTGAAGTAGGCAAAAGTTGTCAGGGCCATAACCTTGGGTAGCAAATATGTTTAGGACCGCATTAAAATGAGTCTAAAGCGCATCGACCCAACAGATTCAGCTCATACTAAATTTTATAACTCACATTCTAGTGTTATTGAGCTTTACTTGGTAGGTTCTGACAATTACTTACTCAAACCATTAAAAGAATAAACACAAAGGGCTCCATAAGATAATAGTTTGCAGTATGGAATGCATCAGACCACATCAGGCACTTGGATTTATTGTCAAAACAAGCCGTTTATAATTAAGAAAATCAAGAGAAACTATAAATAAGACCATTTTTTAACTGTGTCGGAGTTAACTGAAGGTCAGAACCATATTTCATGACTGCAAAGCTGAAAAACAAGCAGCCAGTAGGAGATGGGTGCAAATGAGGTTTGTATGTTTTCTTCCTCCTCCTTGTCTTTAAATAGTCTATGATCTATGGAGCATGTTAATCACTGGACACATATGACATTTTGATACTACTTTGTCACTGGTATAATATTAGAATATCAGTCAAATAACTAACTAATGCATCATTTAACCATCCATTGAGCCAAACAATTGTCTGGACACTTAAGCCACACTTAAAATGTATGAATATTATTGCATTAAATAAAATAAAAAAAATCAAACATTTATTTTAAAGGTAAATATTATAAACACACTTTTACAAAAACATTTGACAAAAATAAGTTTTAAAAGATAAAACAACAGATATACTGTTCAAAATGATACAATTTATTCAGACACTTTCTGATGGTTCATAGTTAACACTTAGTATGTAACTTGAGGAGAACTGACTTCACATGCCCACTGAAATTATTTTTGAACCAGCTGATTATTTCCACAGAGCGGTTAAGTGTACAAGTACACTACCATTCAAAAGTTTAGATTTTTTAATGTTTTTAAAAGACATTTTATCTTTTTGATCATCAAACAATACAATTTATCTATATTTTAAAACGTAATTTATTCCTGTGATGCAAAAGTGAATTTTCTCCTTTACTCCAGTCTTCAGTCACATGATCCTTCCGAAATCATTCTAATATGCTGCTTTAGTGCTCAAGATATATTTAGTATTATTATAATTTTTTTCAGAATTATTTGATGAATAGAGAGTTCAAAAGAACAGCATTTATTTGAAATAAAAAATCAATTTACTATTGTAATTTGTAACATTACAAATGTTTTCACTGTCACTTTCTATCAATTTAATGCATCCTTGATAAATATCAGCACAGACAGTATTATCTGAGAGACCTATGACAACGCCACCGTTTGTCTTTTAGTTTTGGTGTTACTAGGCCATTCAGCTGTGGTAGGCCTTGCTTTGGTTAATATTTGATACGATGCATAGGTTCTTATCTAGAAGTCCCAGACAACTTCTAGAATCATGTTATGTAAGCTTATCTGTGATGTAAAAAGAACAGATTCTTGCTGACTGAGGGACTTTTATGGAACTTAACGATGTTGTTTAAGTAAACACAACAACATTTTTACACATTGGCTGCAGTAGCTTAATATGATCAGCTTGAATGTGTGTCTTGTCTCAGGTTTAGCCTTGCTTTCATTTCCATATTGTTACATTACAGTCAGATGTAGAAAGCCTGTCGTTGCATTAGTACAGCACACACAGGCTTCTTGTCTACCTGGTCATGCCATAAAAAATGCTAATTCTCCATGAAACTACACAGACAATGGAAGAGCCCAACCCATGATAATCTCCCTTCAGGCCCTGTAATACTCACCACTTTAAGTGTCCTCTCTCTGTGATTAATAACTTATTTGGTCATGTTTGCTTGACATTTGCGTCATAGACAACAAGGTGTGTCATTCGCATATTTTCTTCAGTTAACTAATCTCATATATTTATTTACATAACCAAGATTTATTTTCTTTAATTTCTCTAATTCTATAGGAAAACAAGCGTAGCACTGGTTTAATGACAGATTATGGCTTGTAGTTCAGCCCTATATCATATTCAATGTTGGTGGGGGGTGGAAGCCTTGTAACAGTTGCTCTTTTTAGCACAAGGGTCAAATTTACTGCCAGGCCTCTTGTTGCATAAGGACATCTGCATTTGTATGTCACACGAGAAATGAAAAGTGTGGGTGGATATTCACAGATGAAAAAATTACTGGTGCAGACAATAGGCATTCTTGGAAGATTTATAAGCTTTTTTCGGTCTCACAGCAAACCATATATGTACAAAGAGTGTTTATGTAATACACCTTAGGAATACAACTGGTTATATAGCATTCATAAACAGTGAGAATGCAAATCTCAAGAGTGACATGAATTGATTCTGTCACACATATCACACATTTTATAGCACGCTTCCTAAGAGAGAAAGGAGAGGAACCTAAGAATACATTCAGGGCCTCCCCCAAATGGAAGATCCCAGATCAGTGAGAGAACCCCAGCCTTAAAAGGAACCATATCACGAGTTGCGCAACGAGCGCCCATCTGTTCCCTGGAGCCAGCCTACCTCACAAGTCAAACAGCAGCAGTGAAGCAGGAGAAGCAATGATGGATATACTAAAGACCAGAGTTGTCCCCCTGCGCTGCAGAGGAATCCTCTAGCAGGCAAAAAACTGTGCCAACTGTCACTGCCAGTGCAGATGCCATGTAAGGTCCTATGTCAGCAAAATTATCCTTAAAAAAAAGCAGCAATATGTTAAAATGTGGTGCTTTTAGTTAGACAAAGAGATAGACAGAACCACAGACAGACAGACATATGTTAAGACAGACAGATAGACAATTGCACACCTGTTCATCCAGAACTGAAGCCATCAGTGGCAGCTGCTCCCTTTAGACAAACACTCATGACAACTACAACTCCCAAGAGCCCCAGCTCACATTTGCACAAACACACAACTAGATAGATAGATAGATAGATAGATAGATAGATAGAACAACATATAGAACAATAGAATGAAAAAACAATAGAGAGAATGATAGATAGGACAACAGAGAGCGATAGAATGACAGAACGATAGAACGACAGAACGATAAGACAGACAGACAGAC